AACGGAAAGAATCCCAAGAATCCGGATGGCACAGCTGATAACGGAAAGAATCCCAAGAATCCGGATGGCACAGCTGACAATGGAAAGAATCCTACGAATGTTAATGATGGAAAGAACCCAGTTGAAAAAAGTCCAGTTGTAACTCCTAAATCACCTGAACAAATATCAACTCCTAAAGATGAAGTTGCTACAAATGACGATGATAATGCAGGAACTAATACTACCCAAACATCTTCCGCTACTGAATCTCCAAAATCAAAGCAAGAAGAAGCAAATGAAGCAAATGAAATTCCAGGAATGAAAATGTCGTCATCTTTCGGTCTAATTATATTCGGATGTATTGTTGGCGTTGGTATTCTTGTCGTTTTATATAGTACCTATGGAAGGCGTAAATGGCGCAAGCATTTTCGTCGTAGACAAGCTGCCTTGGCTGATTCATCTAATTATAATGGTGGACGAGCTCTTTAAAATGTTGAAATTTTAAGGAAATTTCCTTTTACTTATTATTCACTCTTCTTATATAAGAAAGTAATATAGATAAATGGATTAGCCAGAGGGTTTATTTATCTTCATGGAATCTTTAAAGTGAAAGGATTCATATATTATTATAATATAATTTTAGATAGCGTTTTCTTTACTACACTATTACGTTTATTTTATTTACTTCATGAATATAAAAGAACTATTCTCTAATTATATAGAAGTGATACGCTAATGTAAATCGAATATTTTGACGAAATTCTATTCATGTAATAAATCTAATTTAGTGTAGTATCGGTATTTTGTAATTTTTAAAATTTCTTGTACTTTTACTAAAAAAAAAAATTCACGGAAATATATATATTTATATAAAATAAAATTGGCATACATTTCTATTTCTTACTCATAATTTTGATAAATTTCGCAAACTTGATTATCATAAAGATTTATAGATTACGTTTTTACCATGATCCTTTACTTGTCTATTAATAATTGTTAATGAAGTCACAAACTCTTTTTATAAGAATATGAACTTTTGAATTTCTACCCGCTTTCTTGCCTAATATTACCTTTATTGGCAAGCTTAAGTCTAAAACAAGGAATCATTAATACAACATAGAAGTACTCAAACATAAATTATAACTTAATCAAAATGAACGATATTAGGAAAGGTTATCTAGCTCCCAAGAGGACAAGACTGAAAGCCTACTAAGGATTAGAACTAATTAAATTATTGAGTTTATTTTGAATATTAGGAATTAGAACAATTTCATTTTACAAGATTTTATCAATAGCAAAAAAAGACATCTAAGTGATATTTATCGGGCATTCACTATTCGAAGATTTATGTCAGTGCAACTCTTTACTAAGCGTCTATTATCGGATAAAATAGTTACTCGCACTATGTCGTCTCAATGTCATCTCATAATTAATAGTTATTCGGCACTTCGTGCCGAATAACTATTATATTGGGAAAATCAAATTTGATTCCAATATTATTAGCTACCTTGTAGGTAGCGGTAGTTATTCGGCTCGAAGTGCCGGATAAGTGATTTATCCGGTATCC